GAAAGCACCTCACTAGTTTCGTTGCTTGATTCACCTTCTCACAATGGCCCGAGAACTTAAATTCATTGTCAACATACACGCCCAGGTCATTTTCACATTCGGTCATGTTGTCAATACACTTTTATCATTACTATTAGGATACACAGAAACAAACCATATTGGTCATTATGTAAATTTATCATAATTCACACTGCTGTTTATTTCCGTTTCCCGTTCAATGCTTTGAATAGCCAACTTTGAAAGACGTTCTTCTGACATGGATGATCGGAGGTAAGATTTGATTAGTTTAAACGATTTTTTTTTCAGCACCAGCACCCGAAATGGGAATACAGTAAACTGTAGTCAGCAAAATTCGTATATCACTACATTATGAAATGCAAGGAGCAAACGCCGAGCATGTAGAAATCGCAGCATTTATTCCACTACAATGGGGGGTGTCTGTCAGTTAACGCATTGCTCCAATTTGTGTAATGTCATAATTTTATATTTTTATTCATTAGGGGTTCAACAAACGATAAGATACTGATATATCAAAGCAAAGCTCACCTTGTCAGACTACCGCGTGTTGGTTAAGTGTTCTTTTATAGTTTATTCAGTTCCGTTATATATAACAAACACTTATCTTTTCTTCTTGTTGTCTTAGAGTGTTAACAGATAGTCATCTAGGTGGGCTATGTCGTAGATCTCTTGGTAGGAGGTTAACTGATAGGATGTTGGTATTTATTAGGTCGTACAATTATTTGTGGCGTCGTCTAACAATATGGTGGGAAGTCCAATGCGTTTAATCGCGCATTTGTATAAAAAAAAAGCCAAGTATTTTACTAATTCCCATGGCTAACATAATAATTACAATCCCTTTTGTCACCTAAGTCGTTATTGTTAATGTTTACTGTTGAAACAGTAAATTTGATAAAGTTTAGACAACAAATGTCATCTCTGTATGTCTTGTGGGGTTTTTGGGATGTTTGGTTCTCACTCAGGATGGGTTGGAGAAAGAAAACTCACGATGTGCTCTCATGTATACATGTTGTATTGGATGTACAATGCAGCTTGGTGCTGGGAAGGCAGCATGGTTACAAGCGTGATGTAGAGAGAGCTGGTTGGTGAGGATGCTCAGAGGAGGACAGCTTGTGGGTCGCCACACTCGCCGGCGGGAGCGAGGACCGCCAGGCAGGCGGAGGAGGAGCAAGGGCCGCTAGGCAGCGGCGGAGGAGGAGGTGGTGTTGGCTGGTTGGTGTAGGTAGAAAGAGACAGGTCACCACGAGGTCAGGTCTTAAATAGCAGGGGGTAGGCGTGGCTTAGTAGTTGACCCCCGCTCCGTGATGCATGGCGGCGCTGGTTGACCTAGACCACGAGGCACACACTGTGGAATTCGTGGGGTCGGCTACGCAGCGACAAACAGCTTTTATAGGGAAGAAATCCACTACAATACTCCCCCTTCCCTCCATGCGGTGTAGGAGACTTGTTGTCTGCAGGGTTGCATAGCACATGTGAGGCAGAACGGGCGGTGCATGCATCATCTGAGACAAAGGCGATTGCGTGGATGAGCCGGTCGCTGGAGACAATTGTCTAGATACACAATATCTGTGGGAGTAGAGAGGGAGAAAAAGGGTGTGTGGAGGCGATGAATGTTGTGCTTCCCTCACGGCAGGTACAGAGTCCTCAGATGCGCCTGCTGGGGTGTGTGGGCCTGGATCAGGAGCAGGGGCTGCGTCAGCAGAAGCGGATGAGGGCTCGTGACAGCAGCTGGGTCCACGACAGCAGCAGGGAGTACCTGAGGGAGAAAAGAGGGGTGTGTGGGTCCGCACTCAGGAACAGGGGCTGCGTCAGGAGAAGCGGCGGGGGTACTGCTGGGCCGGGGTCGGCGTCTGAGGCAGGACGGGTGTGTTGGTCCGCGTCAGTAGCAGGGGCCGCATCAGGGGCGGCAGGGGTTACTGCTGGGCCGGGGTCGGCGTCTGAGGCAGGACGGGTGTGCTGGGGTCGGTAGGACGTGGTGCTTGGGGCAGGAAGAGGCACTGGTGTCTGCTTAGAGAAACAGTGCTGCTCTAGGGTGTCTAACCTGCGGTGTAGAGACAGTAGTTGTAGAGCCGATGAGAGCTGCTTCTGGGTGGATAAGCCAGTCTTCCATGTTGCTTGAAGACTGGGAGCGTGATCAGTTTCTCCTCCATCCTGTGTGAGTGCGAATCTCCGGGGGTCACCATTTGTGGGGTTTTTGGGATGTTCGGTTCACACTCAGGATGGGTTGGAGAAAGGAAACTCACGATGTGCTCTCATGTATACATGTTGTATTGGATGTACAATGCAGCTTGGTGCTGGGAAGGCAGCATGGTTACAAGCGTGATGTAGAGAGAGCTGGTTGGTGAGGGTGCTCAGAGGAGGACAGCTTGTGGGTCACCATGCTCGCCGGCGGGAGCGAGGACCGCCTGGCAGGCGGAGGAGGAGCGAGGGCCGCCAGGCAGGCGGAGGAGGAGCGAGGGCCGCCAGGCAGCGGCGGAGGAGGTGGTGGTGTTGGCTGGTTGGTGTAGGTAGAAAGAGACAGGTCACCACGAGGTCAGGTCTTAACTAGTGGGGGGCAGGCGTGGCTTAGTAGTTGACCCCCGCTCCGTGATGTATGGCGGCGCTGGTTGACCTAGACCACGAGGCACACACTGGAATTCGTGGAGTCGGCTACGCAGCGACAAACAGCGCTTGTAGGGGAGAAATCCACTACAGTCTCTCATAACTTTTGTAATGTGTGAGTGCATTATCTGACCTATTGTATGGCAGTAAATGACAGCTAAAATTTATCACTGAATCATGGAAGCTGTTAAAGTGCTCTGAGAGCTATGTACATCCATAAAATGTCAAATACCCGTTTCTGTTGAAACTCGTGGTACTGTACGTTATTTCCCATTCCTCAGCCTTCTTTTTTGTACAATATAGTTGTCAAAATGTCATCGTCCCTTAATTTAGAGATATTTACATTTTTTTTTTTTTACCTGCTGAGATGCCCTGAGTAAATCCATCTGACGACTTTTAAATGTTTTACCTAGGAAACTGATGGGTTTGTGGGTGTCAGGTCTTTGTCTGGTTTGGGGATTATGATGGCTGTGACTGTCTTAAGAGTTTGGGGGAAGTATCCTGTAGTAAGATGAGTGTTGTAAAGGTATGCGATGGCTAGGATTGTTTCAGGGGGTAAGTGTTGAAGGGTTTGGTGTCCTATGCTGCTGTCACCTTGTGCTTTTTTCTTTGTTCTGTCAGGTGCTTGTTTGATTTCTGTTGGGCTGAATGGTGCAGAGGATGTGTTCTTGTGTGGGTGTGGTGGTGTCTATTGTGTTTTCTAGTGTGATTCTGTCGTGTAGTCTTCGTATTTGTGCGTTGAAGCTATTTTAACTTAGTTATGTGGTCTAGATGGGTCTGTGTTGGGTGGGGGGGGGATGATGTGTTTCCAGTGTTGTTTTAATGTTTGCGCGACTTCAGCTGGCTCTTTGATTCGTCTGCCGTTTACTTGATAATCGAAGGGGGTTGTGTCCTGTGCGACTTCTACGAGCCTTGCCCACTTCGTGGTTGTGGCAGAAGCTGTGGATACATTATTGTTTTATCCTCTTCAGTCTTCACCACTGATCGGCTCGTTAGCAGCTTGGGCGATCGGTCACGTCTCTGTTATGCACTGTTGGCAAGTACTGGGCATGCACCGGCTCATGAATGTTCCTAAACCTGCTCCAGTGTTGGTCAAGTCTGGTCTTGAAAGAGCCCACACACGGTGCCGTTACAACAATTTTTGGTAGATTGTTCCAAGAGTTCACAACTCTCACTCCGAAAAAGTTTGCCCTCACAGTTTTTATGTTTAGTGTGGTCACTGTGGTGATACCTACTTGTGCTGGTGTGAGGTTATGTTTGTTCTACTCAAACCGTCGCCTGTAGTAGTGTAGTAGACATTGTTCTTGTAGAGGGTTTGGAGAAGTATTTTTTCTTGTATTGGTGTTTCTACTGCGGTGGTAGTGATTGTATTAAAAATTTGTGACCATGTTTCCTCTATTTCTCCTGTGGGTTGGTGTTCGAGGTTGAGTGTGTAGTGTTCACAAAGTGTGGATCGCAAAGCATCCCAGTCTGCGTGATGGTATTGGTATTGTGGTGAGAGTGCTGGGAGAAGGATGGGATTGTTGGAGAGGTGTAGTGTGATGGGTATGTCTGAGCCTGACGGGGAGCCTGGTGAAATGTAATGTTGAAATTGAAGGGCTAGTGTGTTTGTGATGACGATGTGGGTGTAGCATGTAGAGAAGAAGGGTCTAATGTGGTGGAGATTTTTGTGTCACCAGTGTGTGTAGGTGTTGCCCAAGGGGATTGGTGTGATTATGTTGGAATGTCACGTGTTTCACATTAATGTAGGCCATTAGTAATAGGGGTAAGTGTGTATTGTTAAAGATGGAATTTAAGTCTGTGAAGGGAATGATGTGTTTGGCCTCGTGTACGGCTTTTGATCGTGAGCACTTGGCTATATACCTCGTTTTCCAGCACTTCCTGGAAGTCCACCAGTTCACCATATTCACAGACCACAAATCACTCACCTACGCCTTCTCGAATTCCGAGTCACACTCCCCAAGAGTCCTCTGGCACCTGGCTTACATCTCGGAATTTACCCGTGACATCAGACACATCAAGGAGCTACAGAACGAAATCTCCAAAACTCTCTCTCTTAGAGTGTTTCGGCTATTCTTCCTCCATCTTCAGGAATCAACTAAAATCATTTTGCTTCTGCCCAGCAAGATGATGAAGACCTCACCTCCTTCAAGACATCGATCACCGGCCTCATCCTCCAGGAACTACCCATCCCCAGTACAATCCTAAAGTTGTGGTGTGACGTCTCCTGTGGTCGGCACCAGACCGTTCCTTCCACGCTTCCTCCGCCATGCCACTTTCATGGATTCAACCACCCAGACATACTACCCTCTCAGTGTCTCCTCACTCAACGCATCATCTGGCTTGGCATCAAATCGGACTCCCGAACATGGGATTACCCAATGCCTGGCTTTTCAATCCAACAAGATCTACAGGCAAAGTCGTGCTCCGGTGGAGACATTCCTAGTACCCAAGGACTGCTTCAAGGTGGTAAACTTAGACATCGTTGGCCCCCTCCCCACCTCCCACAGACAAACCTACCTCTTCACCAGATGAGTGGAAGCCATCCCTATGCCTGACATCACTACTGAAACCACCACCCTGGCACTTCTCTCTGGTTGGGTTCCATGTTTTGGAGCCCCGACAGCCATCATTACAGATCGCAGGACACAGTTAAAGTTGCCACTCTGGCAAGATCTCCTACAGTTCCTCGGTGCCTCCTGTCATCGCACCATGGCCTACCACCCCCAATCAAATGGTATGGTGAAACGCTTTCATTGCCAGCTTAAGGACTCCATCAAGGCTCAACCCCATCCTTACCGCTGGGTGGATGTCCTCCCCCCTGGTACTAATCGGCATTCGGGCCACACACAAGGAAGACCTCAACTACAGCCCGGCGAACCTTATTCTAGGAGAATCCCTTCGCCTTCCTGGAGAATTTTTGCTCACTCAAGACCCTGACCACATCACTCCTGCTGCCCACCATGGCCTACTTCAGCATTACGGCAGTCAGTAGCATCATTCAAGGTCATTGCTCCTTACCAATCATCTTGTCGCCCCAACATCATTCCCACCGTTCTCCTTGATGCTGAACAAGATCTTGTCAGGCGAGATGCCCACCGGACCTCACTCCAGCACCCTTATGATGGCCCTTTCCCAGTTATATCCTGTTCAGCAAAGTTCCTGATGATCGACTGCTTCGGCAGATATGACACTGTCAGCACTGACCTCCTTAAGCCAACCATCTTGCCTGATAAAATCGCACATCTCCCTCATTCCCTAGCCTACCTCCACCACATCCACAAGACTTCTGGGTATCTCCTGAGACAGCAACTGCTCCTGTTCCTGCACAGTAGTTGCATGCCAACAAACTCACAATTGCTTCACTACACCTATGTATATCTCGTCTCAGCAATTCAATTTTTTTGTGCTTCCTTTTACCTGTGATAAGAAACACAGCCTTTCACAGGCAACAAGTTTCACCGCTTCATTCTCCTTCTCTGAACTTAAAATATTTGCTGTTCTCTCAAATACATTCACCATAGCAAAAAGGTCCTCTTGCACAACATACAGTACCTGTGATCGACATTACGTCTAACATTGCTCACCACAAACACCATTTGTTCTCTGGTTTGCTTATCTGTTCGATTCATTCACCAGAAAACTTCAATAACTTGAAGATTCAACTTTGTGGATGATGTACACCTTCAGAGAAAACAAATTGTTTAGGTTATCATGCTGATGTATACTGGGTTTTTTGTTTCACCATCAACATCATCAATGTTTCAGCCATTTTCTGTGCTTGCGTGGATTAGTCGCAATTACCTGATAGCAGCTCTCCATTTTGCGGTCTCTCTTGTCAGGTTCTTGACTCTGATGTCATATCTTACATCCATTCCTCATGATATTCTTGGTCTACCCTTGCCTCTCCTCCATTTTTAGGCTTGTGCACCTCTTGCCTCAATTGGTCTCATCCATTCTCGCCTCTTCCCCAAACCATCTCAGCCTGCCTCTCTGCAGAACTTTGCCAGAATTTAAAGTAATTTCAATACCCAGCCACCCTCTTAACTCTAAACAAGGCCTCCTGCCTTTCAGTGTCACATTACACATCCACCTTACCATTGTCATTTCAGCTCTGAAGCCTGCTAATATCATCCGATATAAATTCCCATAGTTTCACTGCCATAAAACATAATACTTTTCACACCAGCCACATACATTCTTCCTTTCACACAGAGTGAAGGTCCTCTTGCCTTCGATAAAAGCAGCAACTCCCTAAACAGCTAATTCTGACTCTTGCAGCTGAGCAGGATTCAGCACTCCCTCTGGCACTGATCATGTCACACAGGTAACAGAATTCACTGACAGTTCAAACACATATCCCAAATACTGAATCAGTCCAGCCTTGCTGTGGGCTCATACAGAACACTTAAAAATCAGTAACATCCTGCAGTCTGCCATATACTCTCATGCACATATTGTGCACCCACCTTCCACACTTGTTGCATATTTTTTAGGGTTTCTGCCAATATCTTTCTTACAAACAGTACATGACCAATTTCCACTTTCCACCACTGGTATCTCACCCACATCACTAATCAGTACAGTACTTTTGTTTTTGCCACATTCACTCTCAAGCCTTTGGACTGTATTTCTACTTTCATTTCTTCAATTTCTCCAATGCCTCTTCAGTACTATCTGCTATCAACACTAAGTCATCAGTATACAACAACTCCCAGAGAAGGCTAGTCCAGTCCCATGATATTATCTTGAGTACCATCATAAACATAAGGAGGCTTAGTGCAAGAGGTTGATTAGCAAGATTTTTAAAAACAGGTTTGGGTTCTTAACCTACGAATATCTTTAACATTCAGTAAGTTTTTATTTCTGACTTATTGGGCATGGTCTTCCAGTAATAATTTACTTAAAAAATATGAACAGGAGAATCAGGAGTCTATAAATGATTTGTAGGCCTTTATTTCACAATTTAAGTTTTGAATAGAAGTCATGAATCAGAATTTATAGGAAAAACATAAAATTTACTATTAAAAAACAAGTCTCACTGTTTTTGGTGCTGGTGTATAGGTAGAGCGTGAGGAGAAAAAGAAACCCAGTTTCAAACTAAGTGAGTTTCAATGATGTAAGGTACACTCAAGGATAAACTATAGCTTATTTTTTTCTTATGGAGATAAATGGGTAGAGAGACTTTGCCATTCATTCTGTAACAGTGGTTCAATAAAATTGTGCATTTTTTTCTAAGTACTGTGCAGTATACAGTATTTCAAGCTTCCCCATATGGAAGAGATTCACGTTTAAAATAATTACAAGTTAGTTGATCTTGATAGTACAGTAGAGTACAGGTAAACCTCGAGATCCGATATCCCGAGAAGCAATATTCCGCTTTAATGATGGTCATAAATTAAAACCGTCTCGCTATATACGTACAATCAAAATAACTCGCTTTAATGATATCCATCAAATAGCCATCAACATGCAATGGCTGGAATTTTTTTTTTTATCTCTAGTGCAAACTATGGGTTGTATATACAGTCGACCCTCGTTAAAACGGACTAATAGCGGGGGAAGGGTACCCGTTTTAGCCGATTGTCTGAATTAACCAATTTAGGTTAGGTTAGGAAATACAGTACTGTACCGTACATACACTTTACGCTGAACATGATACACAGTATAAAAAATACAGAAAATACTGTAAACATCATATAACTAGCTATATAAAACATTACAATACAGGTATGTAAAAATAAAAGTTAATACCGTAAAGTGTTAATTTCATTTACCTTTGGTAGATGACAGATGAGCTTGATGTGGTGGAGGTGGGGGGTAGAGGTGATAACTTGTAATTCGGAGTCAGTAGAGCTATGATGCTCCACTGGTCCTTTTCCCCCACTCGTAGAAGGCTGAGGTGACTGAGGATGGCCTGAGTCAGCAGCAGGAGGGTCATCAATATCGTCAGCAGGCTCAACAGCTGCAGCAGGGTTGGGACGAACTGGCTTGAAGAATGAGTCTAGTTTCAGTTGTTTACCTTGATGATGCTGCCTCTGGATAATGAGTTCCCTAAAGGCTCTAGAATGTTGATAGTAATGCTGAACATCATCAGTTTCTGCTGACAATTCAATGTACGAAATGACATTATCAGTGGATTCTTGTATAACAGAGAGTTTGGGTTTCTTGGGCAATGGTTCGTCGTCTTCCTCATCTACACTATCTCTGCTGTCACCAACGAGAACTTCATCCGCTATTTCTTCTTCTGTTAAGACTTGGTATCCAGGGTCACCCTCTGTGTCTTCTAGCCAGTTTCTGATGTTGTCTTCTGTGACATCATTTTCGCCCTCCATCACAGTACAGAAGTTTTTTCCAAGCATTGGCTAGAGTGGTAGTCTTCAGTGCCTTCCATGAAGCTGCCAAGTTGAATATTGCAGACTTGAGGTTGTAGTTCTTGACGTTATTAACAGTTCTTTGTCCTCGTATGTCTTCCATAAGATCTTCCTCTTCTTCTATAACCGCAAGAACTTCGTCCAGATATTTTCGTTGGTATATTCTCTAGCAGGCTACAATTATACCCTGATCCATCGGCTGGATCAGGGAGGTAACATTGGGTGGCAAGAACATGCATCTTATTTTACCATCATTACTGACAAGCTTGTCAGCACCTGGGTGAGCAGGTGCGTTGTTCAAAATTAGTAGCGCCTTCACCTCAGCAGCAGGAAGTTTGAGGACATCTTCTTGATATTTTCGCACTGCAGGAATGAAATGTGAGAAAAAACAATCATTAAAGATTTGCATGTTGAACCACAATTTTTTGGAGTGGTAATAATGCACTGGTAGATGGTGCATCATGTCTTTCAAAATTCGTGGGCGTGCTGACCTCACCACCACCACTAACTTTAAACGGTGCATACCGTCTGCGTTCGCGCAACACAATGCCGAAAATCGTTCCTTACTTACTTTACGACCAGGTGAGGAGGCTTCATTCTTGAAAGCTTGGGTATTCCGGGGTAGGGACCGCCAATACAACCCAGTTTCATCCCCAGTATAGACTTGGGAAATCAGGAGTCCTACACTCTTAATTAAGTCATTTAGCCTCTCCCTGAATGGTTCGATGTCCTCGGTGGGTGCGCTACCAGCTTCACCATGGGTAATTTTATTACACATTCCATGGCGATTTCTAAATCGCCATAACCACCCGTCACTAGCTTCGAAATTCTCCATGCCCATGACTTGCTAGCTTAGCAGCAGCAGCTTGAATTTCTACACCACGGACGACATTACCACAGGATCGTTGCTACACAAACCACTTCGTCACTGCCTCCTCAAGATTTGTATCTTTTGCCACTCATACGCTTCCTTGCACCAACAGAAGATGATTTAGAAATTGCATCAACATTATATTTAAAAGAAAATGCAGTGAGTTTGTCCTTAGCCTTGCGTATGTCCGAAACTGTTTGCTTTTTAACACCATACTCGTCACAAACTCTAGACACCGAAGCACCAGCCTCTAACTTCCTCATAAGTTCCAGTTTCTAGTTCATATAAAGGGTCACATACTTCCTCTTCGGCGTATTACTCCCCCTTGAAGACATGATGTAAAATACAAGGCTGAAAGATGCCTAATCACTGAAATATCAACGAAAATTGCAGGGCAACACAACACTGATACTCGAATATGGCGCTAGGTCAACAATAACTGGCGGTCTTGTGCGCGTGAGTCACGCGCACAAGACCGCGGCGTGACCCATCTATTGGACAATCCCAGAACCAGAAATTTGACACGGACAGTCCTTCGCTTAGTTCAGATTTCGTCCGATTTATCCGATATCCAGATTAAAGGGGTCCGAATTAACGAGGGTCGACTGTACAGTGGTCCCTCGGTTAACGAACTCAATCCGTTCCAGCAGGTTGTTCGTTAACCGAAACCATTGTTTCAATGGGTTTTTGGGAAATTGGTTCCAGCTCACCGAAAATTTCCTAAATTCAACAAAAATGGTAGAAAAGTTCACTTACTTTGAGGTGTGTATGTAGAAGGCTCCTGGATGATGATGATGATGATGGGAATTAGAATGGGGGTGGAGAAGAAGGAAGAAGAGAAGGCATTGGGGTGGAAGAGAAGTCACCCCATGGCACCATTTCATCCATAAAATTTTAGTTCTCTTGGTGCATTTCAAGATTATTTTCTTTAAATCAACACTGCACTGCATTATATATTGTCAATATGTAAAATATATTTCAAAATGACCAATAATTTGCTTGGAAACACAGAAAAAAAGCGTTTAGTTGAAGAGTCTCAAGCAAGATGTTACCTCCAGTGAAAACAGAGAGAGACTAATGCTTGTTTGCTGTGTTAAGAGCCTGGATGCCGCGCATTAAACTAGTCACTTTACCTTCAATTATGTTCAATAATTGTTAAAATGACTAAAAAATTGAATATTAAACTTTTAAAATTATTGAATACAGTTAACCCTCACTTTACGCGGTCCCGCATTCCGCGTTTCCACGTTTACGCGGTGCCTTGCCAGAACCTCACGTGCTCACATTACGCGGAGTGTGTCCGGCGCGACGCTATTTTAGATTCGCCCCACCCGCCACCCGCCCGCCTGCCTGCCTCTCCCTCCTCCTCCCTCCGCTTGGGCAAGCGGCGCGGTAAGGTTGCGCAGTGTGTGTCTTTGTTGCGTTATCACTGACGTCATATGACGTATCAGACCTGTGATTGGCCATGCATCCCTACCCCCCTCTGCTGCTAGCTGTAATTGGCTTAAAGTATTATGACGTGTCCACCCGGGGGAGGGAGGGAGGGAGGAAAGACGACGCTTGACCTAGCCGCGGCAGTTTCATCCCTCAAGGCCACTCCGTGTAAACGCGCATCCATTGTTCCGTAAAATGGCTTCCGCCGGACCACCACCCCCAGAGAGAAACCTTTCCTTACCTGGACCCAGCGGCACTAAACCAAAGAAGACACGACGTTCCTTAAGCTACGAGGTGAAGTATAGCATCATCCAAGAGTTGGAGAAAGGAACAAGGCA